AAATCTTGAGGCTAATCTATTAATTTATATTTATTTTATTGATTTGAGAATTAAAATATCTTTAATAAAATACCTTCCAACCCAGTTTTTTGTCTTTTTCTATAGTTCAATAAAATGTGAAGTGCTAGCTAGTCCTTGTAGCTACATTTTTTGTACAAATTTGAACCCAACCAATTAAGTTTCTGCATTTATTAATTATAAATTATTATTGTTAGGTTCAAATTAATGATACCATATACATATATAAAAAAAAATCAAAATATGTACGAATAATAAATTGTGAACTTAATTAGTATATCAATGAATTGTGGATTCGTTGGCAAGTAAAGGATCATTAAAATCGATAAACTTTAATTCTTGAATCCATTAATATATAAATGTTAAAATTTATTTAACTTCTTCGTGTATTTACTTTTTCGTATTTCAACTCTTAAAAAATTTGATTCCGATACTGCTTTAATGGTGACTTAAGACCTATATGATGATCTTAACATAAACAACTTCTTTTATCTCCTTAATACTTTTTGTTGCATTAATTATTGTCACAAAAATTAGGTATAAGTAAGTGTCAAGAAAAATAGACCATCATATATATTGTAGTACGTGTTATGTCTTCTTGTCTCAAAATAATATAAGTTGATAAAAAGCCTCTCACAATCGATGTACAAGTTTTCATCTTTTCCACATCCAACATAATGGAGAAAAGAATCACTCAACTCATTAATTCATTATTTGTCTTTCAACTTCTATTTCATTTTCAATTTGCCTTTTATTTTGTCAAAAATTTAATTATTCTATATTCGAGATATATTGGTATGACTAATTTGATTTCGCACCGAATAAATTGACTTAAGTTTTATATGTTTGCATTAAAATTAAGATATTCGAATATGATGTGTGTCTGCTTGTTCAACGTTCTACAAATTAAAGTATATATTTATGCACACGCAAACTCGGAGGACATAGATATCAAGTAAGGTCAAATTAAGAGATATTTTTATGTATTATGTCTAATTGTAATTATGGCAAAGGTGGCAGAGGTGGTGATCCGCACGATACTCTTACACAGTTTACATAGTGTGATATTACCTGTTTGGGTCATGTCCGTACGATTTTTCCAAAAGGCCTCATACTATTAAGAGAATCCTACCACTTATACGTAGGTTCCTTTTTTTTTCAACTTTCGATGTGAAAATTAGTTTGTACACCAAACAATCTCACCCAAAAACAAAGTTTAACAATATATATCAATCATTTATGGATTAATTTGGAGATTAATTATGTGTTACCCACATTATCCTCCGAATATTTATAGCCAACAAAGTTTGTTGCTACTTTGTTGGGTAAGTGTCTTCAATTTATGGGTAAAGGTAATGCACCACCCAATAGACGACGGGCGAAGGCCTTACAACCACACTCTTATGCCATCACTCTGTCATCTTCACTTGTCTCACAGAACTATTAGCTTTGATACTATAGTTATTGTTGATATGATGGTGATTGAGAGTGATGATAGTAGTTGTAATAGCAAAGATGGTTATTGGTTAGTGATAGTGAACAAGTAATGGTAAAAATTATTCAAATAGACTAAAAGTACATTATTTATTAAAAATTTCAAGATTAGAATTAAAAATAAAAAAATATCAATCATTTTTTAAACCTATCTTAATAGTAGAATTTATACTACTTTCTGAATGTTATTACATATACGTGAATATAATCTATTTCATCATTACTAATTTACTATGTGGACGAATATAATATATTTCACTATATTTTGAAATTAAAATATCTTTTTACATTTTGTAATTAAGTAAAATCTTGTTATTTTTCACAAACCAAAATTTGAGCACAAACAACGCTAAATATAATACGTGGGCAAAGGAAAACCATTCATATGAAAGAGATAAAAGTGGGGTTACAATGAAACCAAATGAATTCATCAATTGCAAACACTTTTTTTTGTCCTTTTTCTATATCTTTATCTTATCTTTGTTTTATATTTACTCTTCATTTAATTATCGACAATCTAATCAAATTAATAAATATTTCTCTAAATAATTTAAATTTCTAAATAAGATAACCATACAATATAGTTAGGACTGAGCATTTGATATTATTAAATTTCGCATTCGGTAATTCGGTAATTGATAGTTAAAAATAGATATCAAATTTCAAAATTTTAAATTTCGATTTTGATAATCGGTAAATTAAGTTTCAATTTGGTATGGTATACGGTAATACTGTATTGAAGTTGTAGCCGATTGTATTACAAAGTTAATACTATTTTCCAATTATTTCTATTTTTTATGTGGAGGCACAGTATAATAGAAGATTAATAAGTAAGAAGATACTAAGAAAAACAAATTGATACAACTAAAAGACATGTATATGGGTTATTTATGTTTATTCTTTAACTTTCTTCTTTGGACTTGTATTAATGAGTAATGGACATGTTGATACATGATCTTCATTAAGTAAATAGTGCGGTATTCGGAAAATACCAAATACCAAACCTAAACCTAAACCCGAATACCATGATTTCAAAATTTTACTTCCAAATACCATACCAAATATCCAATTACTGAATATCAAATTATTACAAAATTCAATTCGTTTTGATAATTTGATTTTCGATATTTTATGTCCAGCCTAAAGTATAGTAACGGAACAAACAACTGTTTTGACTTCTAAGTGTCACCGCTCATGCACCACCACCAATTGATTTTAAAAAGATTTTCACATATTTGGCTTAAGAAAAACAATAATTATTCATGTATGTGAAGAAGCGTATCGAATACATAATTAAATAAAAGGAAAAAGTTCAAATACATCATCAAACTTTGTTGAAATAATATCGTGTTCTCTTTTCTTTTTCTTTTTTGTTTTATCCCTTTGTTGAAATTCGACTATGTCCTAGAAGGTAATTTTAATGTGGCCAATGACTTTTTCTGATGATGCTTCACTTAGGGACAAGTATATGTCAATTTCGTAGCTTAATGCTTTCAAGGGCTCTACTATATAAAAAAATAACTTTTAGCGGCAATACACACATTAACAAGAGTATTAACGTCTTTATTGGTATTAATTAATTTTCATTAAATTCAATATCGGTATAGACTTTAGGAACATTTATATAAAGTGTCAATTGCCTCAAAAAACATATTAAACGATAATTAAATTATTGTCGTTAATTAATTACCGTTAAAAAATATTTTTTATGTTATGCTCCTAAATTAATGATTTATGACCAGGCAACTTATATATACTTTTTAAATGAGATGATCGTCACAGATTTAAAAATTAATTTTTAATCTTATTCTAAACTTATTTCTATTCATATCTATGAACTAAATTAGTCAAAAAGAAAAAACTATTATCATGTTCACAAGTCGCAACAAATGTACCCATCATGTACTTGAAAAGCTAACACAAATTTTAATGAGTCATTTTATTCTCCAAAACCTAACTTTTAGTTATGAGAAGAAACTAAATAATACTACAAGTAATTAATATGTTTAGAAATTATTGGAGGCAAACCATGTGTGTTAACTAATATTTAAATATGGCATATCTTGGTTTGGCCATATGGAATCTCCAATTTGAAATGAACCAATCATGCATCTCGAATAATTTCACGGATGATCGCTTTATATTTATCTATCGCATCAATTTAAGATTTATATTATCAAACGGAATAACTATATAAAATTATATCAATACTTTCTCATATTATGAATAACGTAGAAGTAATTTAATTTACCTGTTATGGCATGCACCATCCTTTTTATCTCCTACTTAGGGCCTTCAATATGAGTATTTGATATAAACGTTAATTTTCTATTCTAATATGTATAAGTTTAAAATAAAAACTACTTTTTTTACGTGATTTAATAATTTAAAAATTATTTACATTGTCATGTTGTATTAAATTAAATTAAAAAATAAAAATAAAAATGATGAGCTGTAAATGGTGTTAACCAAGTTGTAATATTGCACTCAATAATATCCTATCCTCAAACGCAACTGAAATTATTATATACCAAACATTTCCCTTTCACAATTTATCCAAAAAAAAGGGATAAGCATACCCCACTTTTCCAAAAAAGCAACATCACTTTTGCTGACAAAGGAAATAAAGGGTGTATATATATATTATTATTATCCTGTCCTACGGAATGGCTCAGTTAGTTTAGAGGACGATTATCCGCATAGATGATTCGGAATCGATCCCTCCTTAATATCTTCTGAATTGAGCTTGTTGTAATAGAGCTTTCCTAGTGGGATATATCTTTTGTGTAGGTAATTACACAGTTGGGGGATTTACATAGTATGCACATAGTGCTCATCGTAGAGTGTTCATCCGAAAGGCAGAGATTACAGCGGCTGCAGATTATTTTGGGATTCCAAAAATATATATATATTATTTTGTGGAGGGGGAAATAGAATTTGAACTTTACGAATTTAAAGTAGGCATTTAATCATAAAAATAAAATATTTTTTATTTTATTTGAAATTGTAGTAGAAGTTATAGTTGCGTCTAGTTATACTTTTGAGAAGAGAGCATTTTCTTTGAATTTATAAAGATAGAGGAAAACAAATTATAAGTCATTTTTAAAATTCGGAATCTACCTTCAAGTTGAATTAAAAATTTTCATGATCAGACACTAATTTTCAAATAAAGTGAAATGTTATTCAGAAAAAGTTGATTTCGAATTTAATTTGTGTACATATTTAATAAAATTCATAATATAATTATAAAATATTAACTAAAGCTATTAGGTTCGATTAAATCCGTACATGCCTATTATTATGACCATTTAATTTTCCACAAAAAATAAAATAAGCAGAAGTTTCTCATTATTTCCAAAACCAAGCAGAAGTTTCTCATGACAAGGTACTAATTATTTTTCAGCAAATATTAGGTATATGACATTTTCAATAAAATTCTTTTAAATTTTATTGGGCCTATTTAAAGCCTTCTCTTCTTAAGCTTTTTAGTCATAAAGTTATTTTTTCAAAAATATTAGCATTTTCTCTCTTTCTTCCCTTTTTATTATTATCTTAAAGATAAGATGGATACACAAATTCCTATATTGAGTCCTAACAATAATATTGATGAATTTGAAGATTTGGAAGTGACACAATTTGATGAAGACACACTAAGAAAATTATTATTTGAAGAAGAATTACAACCAAATTATGACAATATTAATATTGTCCAAGATTGTGTAATACAACCAATGGTGGTTGATATGGCTCCGAATTTCTCGAAAATCGAGGAGGAGAGGGAGGAGGAGGAGGAGCTTGTAATCGAAGATTTCGAGTGGCTAGAAATGATGGAATTGTCAGATACAATTGTCTCCCACGAGGGAGTAAACGAGATTTTCGATGTGGGAGAATTAGAGTTTGATTTTTCTCATTTTTGTTCTTCTTCAATTCCTATGGAAGAAATAGGATATGATGTTTTGTGGCAAAACAACTTATAATAGTATTATTATTTTAATAAAATCAATTAAATTAAGTACTAATGTTATGAAATTTCATAGCCATTAATTATCACTCTTCCTCTATGTTTGAATGATTTTTTTTTTCCTCAATTGCTTTAATTCAAACTCTATCTTTGTATATAAATAATTTAAATAAAATCCAACAAATTAATTTTATATAGATTTCATAAACTCAAAATTTTGATTAAGCATGATAAGTTATATGTGTCCACTACATGTCATAGGACCAGGTTATTATCACACTTTAATGCAGTAAAAACTAAAGTACAGAATAAGAACAAGAAGATTTTTTACTTGCTCAAGGGAGGAAAAAACATGATATGTTCAGTAAGATTTTCCAACTGTTTTTCATTATGTTCAAGTAACAAGTGAATACAGACTCCAACAATCATACAAGGATTAAAAATCCTACAACATGTAACACCTTTATTACGGAAAGAATCAAAACAATAACTCTATTGCCCACTATATCAACTAACTCTAGTTAATATAGACTTCAATTATATACTACACAGTTAACTCTAACTATGCTCATTGTTGGCTGGCAATAAAACGACATGATTTATTCCTTTATAGATTAGGAACAGATCATACAAGTTAAAACACACAAGACACAAACTCTCGATTCGACAACTCAAAGAGTTCTTGAAAGCTTGTGTTCTTCTTTGGAGAGACAAAAGACACTTTTTTTCTTGATTACTTCAAATGTGAGAACTAGGTAGTTTCATGTCAACAACGGAGTTACAAAGCCTCTATCAATGAGTTTGAATTATAAATAAGTACTTCCATGAGGGGTTGTGGGAAGACGACTTTAAAAGTAAAAGTGGGGGGAGGGGGTAATTTATAGTTTAATCAAGTATATCTCAATATAATACTGATCAACTAATAATCCAATCAATAACGATAAAGTTTGAATTTTTATCATGCATATCACTATATATATAGTCTTGATTGTGCTTTTTGTTAAATGTTGGATTATTGCATATTATTATATGTTCTACTTATTATCATGTTACGTATATTTATATCGTTATAATGTTTTGCGTCCATTATTATTGAATTTATTATTTGCACGGTTGTTTTTTTTGGAAATTATACTTATATATTGACTTTCGTTATTATTTTGTTAGAAACGATCGATGATACTTACCGAGTACGTTCCGTACTCCATGGCTTGCCAAATTATTAGGCCAAGCCAAACATAAACCTCTGAATTTCATGTGCAACTAAATAAAACAACAAGTGGTATAATTGCCTAACAAATAGGAACATATCGACTTCCTAGACATTTTCCTAATTATAGATCACTAAACCATGATTAATAATATGTATGATCACGTTAAGTATTAATTTTAATTTATTGATTTGGTTTTTAAAATAATTTGATATATATAAGTATATACGATTTGTTAGTCTAAAATTGCACTTATACCCCACAAAAAATTTATTTGTTACGAGGAACATAAATTAAAGACCAGCACCAAACAGGGCAAAAGTGCAAGTCGGGGCCCCACCCTTTTTAGGTTCCTTTTTTTTATTTTTAAATCCAATAGTCTTTTTTAACTTCCTTCATGTTATTTTACTTAAAATGACATAAACATAACCCACTTGTGGAGAAAACATATTATAAATTTTTCTATAATATATTTGACAGGAAATTAGGCAAAACATCATATTTCAAAAGTTTTTCTAGATGTTAGCATGGTCCTTTTAATTCCTTACATTGCCTTTTTCAACTATTTGAAACCAAACAATTAGGTGCATCATGTTTTCTTGTTTTCAAGGCATGAAAAACATGTATTTTACACTATATTTGCACTAAATTAGGTATATGATATTTTCAAGCCAATCTAGAAGCAATCCTTGTTGGTTTCTTGGTAAACAAGAATGGTGGAAGCTTAAAAGATTGAGATATTAACATCAATGTCATCGCCGACGAATTTAGAATTTGAAGTTTTATAGATTTTAACAACAGGTGTTAATACATGCGATAAGGTTTGGATAAAAGTTATTAAATTGAATCCACGTGAACCAAAAGTTATAAGTTAGATCCGCTTTTGTCAATGTGCAACGATGAAGAGACAAAATATAGATGGAGTGTAGGAGAATGGGCAAAACATTCGAGAAGGAAAATTGGTGCGACTATTACGCAAATTATTCTCAATATCGGAGGTGGATTTAGGGTTTAGAGTCAATAGGTTCAATGAAATACCGCCATACATAAACATGTCCTTTAACTTGGCCTCAATTGACATCTATGCTTCCAACTTTGGGTATGTACAAGTAGACACGTGGATCCTACATGACAAATAGTGTGTGTCTACTTATTCAACTTTATGACAGTTTAAGTGTCTACTTATACCTGCTCAAAATTGGAAGGCATAGATATCATAAACCAAGTTAAAAGACACGTGTATATATTGTGCCAAATGAAAATGATCTATTGATTCATGACTCGCTCTGTTTGGCCAACTAGTCACTTCCACCAGGCATAGGTATCAGATAACTCGTAGATTCGAATAAATCACTTTTTGTGGTGGGTTTGAACTCCCGTGATTTTCACCCACTCTATGGATGCAAAATGCAAAATCAATTTCTATTTCTTCCCTCCAAAACGCAATACATCTAAACTTTGGTCTTACAAACATCATAACAACTCAACAATATTAACAACTAATCCAACTACAAACCAATCGAGTTCAAATGCGAAAACAAGGCAAGAACATGTACCAAAAAACGGAATCTTGATTCCCTTCTCATCATTTATCATTCAATCAATTCGTCAAGAGTACATAATGTTATCAGACTTACGCTATTCTCGAAAAGTAGGGGAAATTTGTGAGGACGGTGTTGTAACGTTGTCACCTTCCAAAACATCTGAAAATAGAGGATGTAAGGGTTGAAGAAAGAAATCTCATCCCAACTGAACCTCCGGGGAAGTAGGAGATAACATAATAAGATAGAGCAAGGACCTGGCAAAAACAGAATTGTCAAGCACATAAGTTATGTATGTATTACAACTGATCGATTTATTGAAAGATAGTAACATCCATTAAACTGAGAGAACGCGATAATGTTGTTAAAATAAACCTATTCTTTTGTTTAAAACTAGTAGAAACAGCATACTATTTCTTTAACAGATGTACCATATGTTCTTACACCAGTGATCCTGTGAAGTGTTGGGGTTAACTTCAGTCTCTTTTACTGTTGAAGACGGTTATCTGGAAGATTTTTGATAAAATGTCGAAGCTAAACGCATGTAAGCAACTGCTCTCAGACCATACAATTACCATTTTTGAGTGAGTTGGTTGTGTTTAGGTGTGGCCACTTTTTAGTAGTTCCTTAATTTCCATATGTTCTGTTCTTTCTCTTTTTGATTATTGTCGTGTCCAACCAGCTAACGTGCACCTCGACTAATTTCACGGGGTACCTACTACCTCTCACTAGCACATGCACCAGGTAACTCTATCCACCAAAGCTTTGGACAAATAGGAAGAAATCACCAAGTGCCTTTGTCTCCCGCTGGGATTTGATTATGAGACCTCATGGTTCTCAACTCACTTCATTAACCACAAGGCCACACGGCCCACACCCTTGGCAAGTTTTGTTCTTTCTTTTCACCTTTCTCTAAGATTTAGAGGGATAGGAGGGTACGGGTAGTTGTCAAGTCACTTATCTAACAATTCTATACAGTAGAATGTGAATCGATTCAGGTCAAGAGGGATAACATCTTCCGTCCTCTCAGATGGTTCTAAAAGTTGTGCTTTTGGACCTTCCCTAGATTGATATTCACACTTGAAAAGTAGATAAAACAAGGGGATGGAGTCAACATACTTTATATAAAAATGATGCAGATTTTCACCACAGTCGTTCCTACTTTGACTCAGAACTCCACTTATTTCGTCACCTTCTAAATCATTCAGTTTTATAGCAACTCCTACCACTCATCTATCCACTTACTAAGCTATCATAGCTAAAACCCATTTGGTAGGGAACATTTACGAAAAGCAGACTTGGGAAAGTTAGCTCACATCCTAAAAGGAAAATATTCCACGTTACTTGGTGTCTATGATGTTATTTACATGAAGGATCTTCTAGATATCCAACTAATCAACAACAACATACCTAGTGTAGTCCCACAAGTGGGATCTAGGATAGATATCCAACTAATCATAGAGCGAAATTGCAATCAAATTTCTTTTATTAGAACACTCAGAATGTCGAGTATTTCAACACATAAAACTTATTAGACTAAATTGATTTGAGACTTCTGAAAGTTATTCTGTAAAAGGAGAAGCTCCAGTATAAAAAGCTTCCTTGCAGTACCACGATGTAATTTTGACAGGTCCAAAAAATCCATGCTTATATTCAGGCAAGACACAAGTTTCCACTATATTGTGAAGTCTTGTACTCAGATACTTGTAACCCATCCCTTGGGTTGCCTTGAAATAATATAATCACTCCGTGCATTCAGAAAATGCAAGCTAATACTTTGCTTTTAGTTTTTACCGCACATCGGTGCATGTCGACAAAAAAACTTTCTTTAATTACCAAATAAGGCCAAGAAAGCTAAAATAATCTATGCAATATGAACTAGTACATAAGAAGTAGGAATAGCAAACTTCAGATAGTCAGGGTGGTCAAAGTAAATAACGCCACCTGCAGGCATGACAACCCCCAAGCTTGAACTGTTTGGTACCAAAACAAAAGACCAAATAGTACAGCTCATGAATCAAGGAAAAACTAGATAAACTTCTAGTTGAATGAGTCGGTACCCCCAGGAAGTGGCTAGAAAATGTAGCTTTAGGCATGAATGCACTTCCCAAAGAAAAAAATGGCAAAATGGCTACTAAAGACAAAACAAAACCATGGTCCGGAATAGAACTTTTAATGAGTGAAGACTTGATAAGTTGGAAAGCTCATAGTAGCATATTATTTGTCCTAGAACCTTTTTGATTTTTCCGGGCAATGTGCCCTGGAAATATTAACTAGCAAGCTTAAAAGTGTTTGTCG